TTATCTTATGCAGTTTATTATAAGTAGAATTAAATGTAGACCAAACTTTGTTTCCGTTTTTTATATATTAATTTATTTTATAAAATTATTTATTTTTAATTATAGTCACTTCAGTTAGGGTCTAACGACAGACTTCAAATTAACCTTTTGACCTAACCCTAAAGATTAACTCAATAAAATTAATAATTCATGCCATGTTACCTCAAGTAAAGCTTTTTCTACTGATCTGATATAGTTAGCTAGAACTTCTTTATCTCTGTAAAAAAAAAACAAGTAAAGTAATGGAACTTATGCACATCTGGGAAAACCTCCACAATTTTCCATCATCATTTATTCTACCTTAAAAACAAAATAGACTCCTCCTATTTCTGTTTGCAATTTGGAACAAGGAAATGATAATAATGCAACTTACTTGGCAGCCGTTCTCAAAGCATTTTCAGCATCTGTTAAATTTCCTTCAAATGATTTCTTATCAAATTCATATTGCATGGTCTGTTTATTTAGTTGTCTTATTGTCTGTTCCTTTCTTCTTAATTCACTCTTGATTTCTGACAGATCCTGTTGAACAAAAAAGAAGTTTTATAGTTACTGTAAATTTCTTTTTCAAAAGATTTCACTTACTTTGTTAAGTTTTAATATTTGTAAAAAAAGAGCTCTCAATAAATTTCGGACAGTATAACTATGATCTTTTGTTAATATGAATTTCAATATGGTAAGATAAAAACCCTGCAAACATAGGCAAACAAATGGACTTTTAGGGCTTGGAACACAATATGTTCGGATTGTGCTTATTCAGATTGTAAAAATAAGCAATCAGCCTAAGAAGGACATGAAAATTGATCTAAGATTGCACCTGATACCAATAACTTCATAGGCTAATGCCCACACCAATTCTATAATAGAAAAACTACCTGAGCAGCTGCTGATAAAGTATGACGTTTCTCTTCACCATCTGTAGCATACATCTCTAATCTTGTAGATAACTCTGTTAACTGTCGACTTTGTTCTTGTAATAAATGTTGAGCTTGTTGTTCTCTATGTAAAGCACTATTCAACTCCTCACAAACCCTTTCAAATTTCTCCATAGAAACAAACTGAATATTGGGGGAGGTCTAAAAAAACAAATTTGTCTTTATTTTACTTTGCAAACCTGTTTAGACTTAGGATTCGTCTTAGATAGTTTCAATGCAATATTTTCACATGAATAATTAACCTCGCTCATGGACTCATTTACTGACATAAATCAACTCCTTTGTTAAATTCTGTAGGTGTGAAAGGGTGCGCACTATATTCGCAATTATACAGTATTAGTGACCTCCATTTTTAATAAAAATTATACTTTTTTAAATTAAAGGTGGATTGTACCTCTGATGATTTTTTACTAACATCTATGATATTGTTACTAGTTAGATCACTTTCTACAGGTACAGGTGTTTTTAACTTCTTTATATCCTCTAATAAACCATTTCTCTCTACCTCTAGTTTATGTAGTTTACTGGTTAGATCTAATACATTATTCTGTAATGCCATCATCAAATCCTATAACAGAAATACAATTGAAATATCTAAGCCAGCAAATCATCTATTATCCTTCATAAAACACTGATGATGATTAAGCTTATACTAATGATGAACATGATGATGATGATGATGATAATACATTGATGATGTTATACACTGAATGATTAAACATAAGTGACGATAATACATTGATGATGATTATACATACTGATGATGATATACATATAT